ACCCTCAGTTTGTTCTCCATATTTATGAGTCTCTTCTGTTTTGTCCCCCTCCCTTTTCTGTATTATTTTTGTTTCCCTTCCCTTATGTTCATCTGTTTTGTCTCTTAAAGTCCTGATATGAGTAAAGTCATCTGATTTTTGTCTTTCTCTGACTAATTTCACTTAGCAGAATACCCTCCTGTTTCATCCACGCAGTTGCGAAAGGCAAGATTTCATTCTTTTTGATTGCCGAGTAATGCTCCATTGTCTATATAGACCACATCTTTATCCATTCATCCATCAATGGACATTCGGGCTCTTTCCATCCTTTGGCTATTGTCGAGAGTGCTGCTATAAACATGGGGGTGCATGCGTCCCTTCGAAACAGCACACCTGTATCCCTTGGATAAATGCCTAGTAGTGTAATTGCTGTGTCGTAGGGCAGTTCTCTTTTTAGTTTTTTGAGGAACCTCCATACTGTTTTCCAGCGTGGCTGCACCAGCTTGCATTCCCAGTGTATGGCCTAGCTTTAAAGTGGGTTCTCCAGGATGAGCTGGCGTTCCCTGAGGTCACTCCCCAGCCAGGACTGCATTAATCTCAACTTGGGGGTTGAGGTCCACACATGCTGTATGAGTTCTGGCCCTTTCTGTGGCTCAGAAATTTCCAGGGTGATTGTTTTCTTTGCTTTTCGCCCTCAGGTCAGACCCCAGTTAGCTATGAACAGTGCAGTTCCTGGGGCCAGTTACGGCTTTAGGACTTTCTGGCAGGTCCTGGCCAAATTGAATTGTTCTCCTTGACTGTCTTAATATTTCCAAGGGCATATTTTTTTTTCTTATCCTGAAGACACCATTTTGCTATTTTTATGCAAGTCCCATTTACCTCCTCTCCGAGGATCTGATAAATGATTTTAGCATCACAAACCTGAAGCAGATAGAGCAGTGTCGAAATATTGGAAATCGTGTCATTTTGCCCAAGAAGGGGACTTGGAACACTGATTTCCCCAAACACACAGCGATCTGCTCTCCTTTGTCACCAGCGAAGCCTCTTGTCAGTATCAAGCTGAAAGGAAGTAATGTTTCACTTCTTGTCGCTGCGTAATGTAATTTCCCATTGTGACTTCTGACGGTCTTTGAATCTGATATAAATGTCTCTCCCCCCGGTTTCCGCCCATGATTCAGTTATCCAATTGTGTTAGAAATAACTCACCCTCCCTCGTGCGGCGATCAGTTCTGCGACATTTAGAATGATAGCACCGTGTTTACAGAGAGGGAACCCTCCCCAGTAGAAGCAGAAGGGACTTCTTTCTGCACATGGCGTCTGTGTTTGATGATAACAGGTGACGTGAACTCTAGGTACATGCATCTTCTAGATGACTTAGGATCTGGGTATGATGAGCCTGAATTTCGTCGTCGTCGTCTTTTTTTTTTTTTTTTTTTGGAAAAATAAAACGTCCCATGGTTTTCGCATGCGCTGTGTTCAGGTCACCTAAATGTGTCCAAGTCTGTGTGGGGCATCAGTAGCCTTGTGCTTTGTGGTCAGTGTCAGCATGTGGGCAGATATTTAGTAATTTGCTTACAAGAAGCTCTGTGTTGTCCTCGAGGCACCCAGTCTAACTAGAAATGCATTTATATGTATCAAATAGACATTACAAATAAAAAAAAAGACCCCTGGTAGTTTTATCTCTGGGCAGGGGAATATATTTGGATGTGTGAGGATGCCTTGTTCCTCTGAGGAATGATGGGGGAAGGAAATCGCTCAATGGAATGGCTTTTGTTGGTGATGAAGCTCAAGGAAGGTTGCGGTCTCCTCTCCTTTGCCAAGATGCAGCGCTCAGGAGGTTTTGAACTTGAAGACCTAACATGAGTTCTAGTGATTAGGAATTCGCTGATCCGGGTTGGTAAAAGAACCGATATATGTTAGAATAGGTCGCCCTGTGGCTCATGACCCATGCGCTTAAGTTGAAGCACCTCTTTTTTAAGGTGGAAAATATAGTCCCTACTGTCTCTTTTGTAATATTGAGAAGTCAGAGGGCTACAAGGGAACATGGAAAAATCAAACCCACAATGCCTCACTCAAATGTAGGATTCTCTGGTAAAACAATAGTAATAATAATTAAGATACACTGAGAGTAAGGCGAAAGGTATTCTGCCCCCTTCCCAGGCCCTCATGAGAGGTGGTCACTCTTGCCACTTGATACATGTTCTAGAACGTTCACAGTGGGTTTTTATCGGGGCGCCCGGCTGGCTCCCTTGGCAGGGCATGCACGTCTTGATCTCAGGGTTGTGAGTTCAAGCCCCATGTTGGGCATAGAGCTTACTTTAGAAATAAATTAGTTTTTTATTGAGGTGAATTTAGATACAATAAAGTGGCCACATCTCAAGTGGACAACTCAGTGAGTTTTTACGTCTATAGGAAACCATGCACTGCCAGCTAAGATGGGGACGTCTCTAGAACCCCACAGGCTCCCTTGAACACTCCCCCGTCCCAAAGGTAACTATCGTTCTGACCCCTATCATACGTTGGTTTAACCTGCTTCTGTACTTCGTACAAGGTATGCAACATATATCCTTCTGTCTGGCTTCTCTGACTCAACGTTGTGTTTCTGACCCTCATATTTTTGTTGCATGTGGTGGTCATTTGAGTTGCCCTTTCTCGGTCGCCATGTGATATTCCGTGTGAGGACAGCCCCCAGTGTGTATCCCTTCTTGTGTTCGGGGGCATCTGGGTTGTCTCCGTAGTGAGGCAACATTAAGAAGGAAGCTACCGGGGCGCCTGGGTGGCGCAGTCGGTGGAGCGTCCGACTTTAGCCAGGTCACGATCTCGCGGTCCGTGAGTTCGAGCCCCGCGTCGGGCTCTGGGCTGACGGCTCAGAGCCTGGAGCCTGTTTCCGATTCTGTGTCTCCCTCTCTCTCTGCCCCTCCCCCGTTCATGCTCTGTCTCTCTCTGTCCCAAAAAGAAATAAACGTTGAAAAA